GGAAAATTTTGACGACGAGAGGGCCTTAGTTCGCCTGAAAGCTTTTCATACTAACAGGATTCGGAGACGGTTTACCTTCGAGCTAGCTCGTTTTCTGTCGATGCGAACTCGCGATGTGTTCAAACGTCATGGGCTACTGATCGACCAACTTCCACCAGGGCCAATCGGTTGGGATCTCTGCAACAACGATAGTAGTGAGAGTAATTATTTTGGGAGTGACGAAGACGAAGGAAAGGGAAAGGGGAGAAAGGAGGATGAAGACGACGATGGAGCAGGAAAACATGGAGGAGTGGAAGAGAGCAAAGGGTTTGAGCCAGATGACCTTCCCCACAACAAGAAACGTAGGGCTAGGGAAGAACTGCCCAGAGATTCTTCTTGTCGAAATGAGGATCAGAATGATGGTAGCGAAAACAAGGAGGACACTGGTGAAAGTACTCCTAAACGAACTCGAGTACTAGGTAAAAGCCTTGGTAGACGCGTGCATTCTTCGTCTGTTGCTGCTGTTTCTGTTTTTAATCCGAAGGATAGTTTAGCCTCCCCCATGCTGCCCCCTCACGGGGTCCCAGTTCATGGTAGAAGTGTTTTGTGTTTTCAACCGCACTAAGACTGACGTATTTTCATTGGTCAGCCGGTTAGCGCGGTCGATGCTAATAATAAAAACACACACACACACACACACACAAGGGAGCAAGACGTGCATCGCAAAAACAAATCACGAGGACTCAGCGCTATTAGGCAAGACCCGAGGGGCAGTCTACAAAAGGGAAAGGCGTGCCGAACCCACCCCCTGTCGAACTCAATTTCTCCCTACCGTCTACGCATCCCATTGTCAACGCCAATACCAGCAGTGTACTGGCCTGACCCGGTACGTTTTCATCATGCCCACCTGTGGCACCGGCGAGCACGCCAAACCCGGTCAAGCTACGGTGTGCGACACAAAAAAGATTGACAACTCGCGCCCAGGCCCCCCGCCCCCCCTTCCATCGCCGCGGCGTGCGCGCCACAGCCTTTGTCCTGCTACAATTGTATTACTCTCGGTCGTAGTGGACATAGTCAACGAAAACAAACTCTTGCTGACGTTTCGCCATGGCAACCGCGAGGCCTTGGAAGACACGCACGGCGTGCATTGTTTGCACCCGCCACGAGCAACATGCGAGCAAGATCGGCGAATGCGAGCGGGGGCATGCCACAGGCGGGGGGGG